ACTTACTTACTTACGCCTGTTACTCCCAAGGAGCATAGGCCGCAAACCAGCATTCTCCAACACACTCTGTCATGAGCTTTCCTTTCTAGTTCTATCGAATCGTTGTTCATTCTTCTCATATCTGTCTCTATTTCTCGGCGTAATGTGTTCTTTGGTCTTCCTCTTCTCCGTTGACCTTCAGGATTCCATGTGAGGGCTTGTCTTGTGACGCAATTAGCTGATTTCCTCAAAGTGTGCCCAATCCACTTCCAGCTCTTCTTCCTGATTTCTTCCTCTGCTGGAGTCTGGTTTGTTCTCTCCCACAGTAACTTATTGCTGATAGTGTCTGGACATCGGATCCGAAGTATTTTGCGTAGACAGCTGTTGATGAACACTTGTATCTTTTAGATAATGGCTTTCGTATTTCTCCACGTCTCCGCCCCATACAGTAGAACTGTCTTCACATTTGTATTAAAAATTCTTGTCTTGGTGTTGGTTGACAATTGTTTTGAGTTCCAGATGTTCCTCAGTTATAAATATGCTGCTCTTGTTTTGCCGATCAGCGCCCTCACATCTGCATCATATCCACCATGTTCATCAATGATGCTGCCCAGATATGTAAAGCTTTCCACATCCTCCAAAGCTTCTCCGTCAAGTGTAATTTGATTGGTGCATATTGTATTGTATCGGAGAGTTTTGCTTTTCCCTTTGTTTATATTGAGACCTACTGCTACTGAGGCTGCTGCTACACTGGTCGTTTTCTCCTGCATTTGTTGTTGCGTTTGTGATAGAAGATCCAGATCATCCGCGAAGTCTAAATCGTCAAGCTGCATCCTGCCTGTCTACTGTATCCCGTGGTTTCCTCAAGATGTTGACGTCTTCATAATCCAGTCGATGACCAGGAGAAAGAGAAACGATGGGAGTAAGCAACCTTGCCTCACACCGGTCTTGAGAGAGTAAAGCTAAGTGTATAAACATGAACTTAAAGCTAGTTTTCACTGTTTTCGTAAATAATGTTAGTCAGCGATGAAAAAAATGAAACCTAGATTTAGTTTGTATTACAACCTAAAACCAACTGAGAGACCATTTAAAATCGAGCATCATTCTCGTTTAAGATCTTTCAAGAGTGAAAGTGTATGATTTTATATAATATTAGTTTGGTGTACTAATGATCGTGGAGGTAATAAAAAGTCCAATAGTCCAACTCAGTTACTTTGCTATACAGAAAGATGACCATTCAATGATATAAATGAGTTCACTAGTGATTATCGTTGCAAATAATTCCCAACCTTCATATGATAAATCGTAGCCGATTCAGTTCAGTTACTAGGAGAGTTAGACAAATGTTACTGACTTCATTCGACGATGACAACACCAATAATTGAATGAATCTGTAAGACCATAACTTATTAAATACCTTTGAGTGATACTCAAGCGGCCTTGAGAAAATTTAATGACTTACTGTAGTCAAAGTAGGATTGTAAATTTATGTGACTAATTAGGATTAGGATTAAGATCCATACGTTAGAGTTAAGAATTAGACCTAGTGTTTTCATAATGAGTTAACATCAACTATCATCCCATATGCTATCTAGCCGTATGGATGAATGAATTTCGTGCCGAAATCCAAGAATTTCTACATTTCATTTCATTTTTTCACCTATAAATTATCGTTTTGGATATGTAAACTGTTAGATTCCATCCAACTTATTAGTTTAAATATATTGAACTGATAGTAAGACCTCATATGGACATGAAACCATGACTACTGTCTAATACCTTCTGTTACTTAATAATTTCTAACTAACAACAATAGAAAATACAGATTTTACACATTTTTTTTCCTAACAATTTGATTTAGTTACTATCCAACTAAACATATTATGTAATACATTTCATGATATTGAATATTTATACTTAATTAAAAATAATTATACAAAATAAAATGAATTAAAAGACCTAGCAACTATACACCCACCACCACCATTACCAACCCCCCTCCCTCTCAGTCACCTCGGAAATAAAATATTAGGAAAAATTTTCAAATAGAGATTATATCGATCGAAAAAAAAACAAACAAACATGAAATTGTAGAACATTCATAAAAGGATATAGATATATATATATATGTATATCTTATCAGTGAATTATATCTAATGTTAGAATGTTTTTCTTTTTAAAAGTTTGTACAATTTCATTGTATTGTGGGTATGTGTTACATACAAAAGATGAAGATGATGAAGAAGAAGAAGAACAACAACAACATTGTATCCGCTAGATTTTTGTTTGAAGTTTATATGTAAACTATTATAACAAATAGATGATTAGAATCTATGAATGAAAATTAAATGGTAAATATGACTTAAAAATTGTGTTGTTAACACTTTTGATTACTATCATAATGATATAATTTTGTGAATAAAGATTTGTTTTAAAAGATAGATAGATAGATAGGTAGATAAATAGATATATAAATAGGTAGATAGGTGGGTAAGTAGATAGATAGATACATAGGTAGGTGGGTAGATAGATACATAGATAGATATAGATAGGTAGGTAGGTAGATAGATAGATAGATAGATAGATAGATACATAGGTAGGTGGGTAGATAGATACATAGATAGATATAGATAGGTAGGTAGATAGATACATAGAAAGATAGATAGATAGATAGTTAGGTAGATAGATAGATAGATAGATGGGTGGATAGATAGATCTGTAGATAGATACATAGATAGATAGTTATGTAGATAGATAGATATATAAGTAGGTAGATAGTTAGATAATCTTTGTCAATTCAAGTTCTCAATCATCAATTTTTAGTATCTATTTTTAAACCATACCTTAGTATGAATACGATCGTAAGCAGTTGATGAGAGCCTTCGATATGAACACTTAACCCTTAGAATATTCTTAATAGTTTGTTGTATTATCAATAATCTATCAATAAATCAACTGTCAGACTCAGATGTTATCATACGATAGAATAATAGACATAATGAATTAAAAATCTCAGTTCAGTTATATTAGACCTTATTGCCTTCTGAAATTGATCAATCTCAAACTCAATAAATCAGTCATCAAATTAAATTGTAATGATGACCATCATTTAATTTATTATGCATCTTATTGTTTCTTACTTAATTCATATCATCATTTCATACATAACTTGCCTTTTTATTTGCATATATAGAGTAAACAGAACTTAAAAACAACCAAACGGCCGTTTCGTCCTAGTACGTGACACTTCAGGAATGCACATCCACGATTCCGCACGTGGGACTCGGACCCACTACCCTCAGTCTCCCGCGCGAATTGGTTGAAGTTACGCATTGATACCTTTGGATACCGGTTCGGTGGTCTAGAGGTTAAGAGTTTGCGCTCGAGAAAGAAGATTCTCGGTTCAAATCTTGTGTGTGGGATAGTGGATTCTCACTGCTGAGGAGTTTTGTACTAGGACGAAGAGGCCGTCTACTACTTCCAGGCTTTTGATGATGATCTAACATTGATCCATTCATAATCTCAATCAAAACTCAACAATCTCCACAACCCCTTACTGATAATAAAAGATAACTCTTTATTTTTACTGTAGACGGTTCGTTAAAATTGTTGAATTTCATAGTTTACGTTATTCATTGGTATTATTTACCAACCATTGGAAACCCGATAAAGTTAAACATATATTTTGTATTAGTATGGGACACCTCATAAGTACATATCCGTGCCTTAACTAATGGTCAAGTCCAGGACCTTCAGTTCTCACGCATAAAGTCTTAACCTAAAGCACCACCGAACTAGCATCCACCGGTGTATATGTTTAATTTTAATTAATTTATTGTACTGTACAATCATTTTCCAATGTCATTGATGGGTAACTGTTTAACAGTTGACTTAGTTGAACTCCACTAGTCAAAGCTTCTTATATGAACGGTAGAAATAATTTGATGTCTCAGAGACGAATATCCTGGGTTTGATCCTCTTTGGGGATCGTGAATGCGTACTGCCGAGTAATATAATACAGAACAACTCTCTAGTGATTCTTAATTTCCAATAGTTGTATAACTAAGATTAAATCAGTATGTTAACTATAAAACTCTTTATTTCTATTCAGTCTAGAGAAAAAGGCATTTTTGAAAATTTAACTAATCTTTTTTGATCATCAATTTGAAATGGATACTTATGGTATGCACAGTTCTGGATAGCGATTTGTTGAAAAGATAAAAATCCCAGTACTACTGTAGTGAACAAGAACACGGTTGGGGACAATCAAATATATTTAAGCGCAAAAATTACAGACTATCTCACTAAATTGTGATAACCATACAATAAACAGTTACATTACAAACTATCAATCAATTATCTCAATCTTAACTATTCCTTCTACAAATATCTATCCGTCTTCTCTGATTTCATTGTTCATACATTTTCATACCGATTGAGCTTCATTTCAGTTCTTTCCTTATTGATCTTTTGCCAAAATACATTATATACCTGACCTTTACCCTATACTACTTATATGGATATAAGTAGACCACATCCCACTACTCCTATTACTAATACTAATACGAATACTAATGTTGTATCCATCACCACCAACATTGTTCATACATTTTCATACCGATTGCGCTTCATTTCAGTTCTTTCCTTATTGATCTTTTTCCAAAATACATTCTATATCTGACATTCACCCTATACTACTTATATGGATATAAGTAGACCACATCATACTACTAATACTACTATTCTATTCATCACTATCAACTTTGTCTATATATTTCACCTTTATTTATTTCATTTCATACTTTTTTTATATTTTACAGATTTCAACCGTCCCAACAACAAAAATTCATTAGAAGGATAGATCGATTGTGGATAATTGAAGAGAGTGAATTAGACTAATCTATTGTAGTGTTAATTATTATTATCATCATCATCATCATCATCATCATCATCATCATCATTAATATACTACTTATTTCAATTCAATTCAATTCAATAGTATTATTGTTATTATAATAAAAATGCAAAAATCTATACGTGCAAATGAGCATCAATTATATTATTTAGTAAATAAAGCTCGTGAAAATGGTCTGGCTAAATTATCTGGTAATTTATGGAAAAGAAGTTTAGATACTGGTAAATGGCAATTACGGTAAGTATAATTAATCATTAACTAGATATAAATAATTTCTTTCTTTGTATATTGAATAGTATAGAACATTGGAGAGTGTTGAGTATTGATTGAGATTATAAATTAATCAATGTTAGACTATTATTGAAAACATGGAACGATGAACAGTTGCTCAAACATCGTGGATTGGTTGAAGTTAGACATTAACACCGTTGGATGTCGGCCAGCTCAGTGGTCTATCGGTTAAGTGCTCTGGTGCGGGATAGGTAGGTTCTGGGTTCGAATCCCACTTTTGAGTGCGGGATCGTGCTAAAGAGTCCCACAATAGAACGAAACGGACGTCCAGTGGTTGCAGGTTTTCTATAGTGGTCTATCTTCAATTGACTAATGGTTTTAACTATGAAAGTTCTGATGATAAACATGGAAACAATGGAAGACCATTTCGTTCTAATATTGAACTGCTTAGAAGTGCGCATCCACGATCTTGAACTAAAGGGACTTGGAGTCAGAATATTTGCTTTTTGGGAGAGAACTCTTAACCTCTAGACCACTAAGCCGGCAGCATCCAACGATGGTAATGTCTAACATCAATCGATTCATGATCTTGATTGATTATTGAGTAGTAAAGACCGACAAATGTCATGTGTTGTCTAGTGCTTCCTGGAGCTTACTGATTACTATAGGTCAAATTGTAAAATGACCACTAGTGTAAGTTGTTATGTCCTATGAACCTGCTAATATATCACGTGACTAAATCACCGATTAGAAACACCAACCATGTATGACATTGCACTGTACCAAACCAATGACGTATAAACCAGTATGAGCAGCCTAGATTTAACTCTGGATTCTTACTGGTCCACTGAAATAGCAGCTTCTCGCCTAACCCAGCCGGTTCAGTTTAGAACACTAATATCAGCCATCATCGTATGAATTATGTATTTCAGGCATACACAGTTTATATACACGCATATCAAACCAGACCATACATTAAAATAGGAAATAACAATTAAACAAGATCAAGCCAGAAAGTGTCTGTGATTGTGAGATGCTGTAACTAATAAATTTGGAAAAACTTAAGAATAGTGAATTGTGTGACAGTAGTTAGTAAGTCAAGCGGAAGCCTATAATAAAAGAAATATGAATATACATAATCTAGCTACCGAATAGGGAGCCTGAGAAATGACGAACATATCCGAGAACGGCAGCAGGCGCGAAATTTACCCACTCCCAGCACGGGTAGGTAGTGACAAAAAATACGTATACGAGACTCAACTGACGCTCCGTAATTCGAATGAGTACAATTTAAATTCTTTAACGAAGACCGATTGGAGGGCAAGTCTGGTGTCAGCAGCAGCGGTAACTTCAGCTTCAAAAGCGTATATATAACAGTTATATAATAAAAATTTATATGTATAATAATGGCATATATATATATATATATATATATACGTCCTAGCAGTTACCATTTACTTATTCTGTGTTCGGATAATAGCATAAGTAACTTGACATTGAATACCTTATGTTAAGATGTTGATTGGTTGGAGGTTGTAGACGCAAAATTCTGAGCATAGGTTGTGGATTGCTTATACATACCAGATGTTAAAAATGTTATTTAGTTTAGGTTCTTATATACATCATTTTTTGTGTGTAATAAACATTAACTTACGTAATCACTTTATCAAAACGATAAGTGTAGCTATGTTGAATTTTACACTAAAGCTATTCAAACAGCTAAGTGATAACGTTTTAAACAGTGAACTTGAATGACACAATTTCGTATGCTTCAGGAATTATGATTTCCTAAAAGATTATAGGTTCAACTCGCCGACGATTATTGGATAGGACGAAATCTAGGTTCGGGATATTTTGTCAGCTATTTCTAGCCGCCCAATAAATAGTTGTAGTAAGCAGTATCTTTGAAAGGCGAAAAATTCATTTACACCGCTGAAGTATTTCCTGGTTTTTATCTAATGGCCCTATGGATTCATTTCGTTATTAAAAATAGATGATGTTATGAAACCGTATTGCTTCTTTGGACAAACTTTTACGGAAAAATGACTTCTATACACAACTACTGATTGTGGAGGGAGGTAATTTGTACAATATTGTAGATTGCTTGAAGTTAGACATTAACCCCTTTGGATGCCGCCGGCTTAGTGGTCTAGAGGTTAAGAGTTCACTCCTGAGACCGAATATCCTGACTCCGAGTCCCTTTGCTATGGGATCATGGATGTGTACTGCTGAGCAGTTCAATACTAGAAGGAAATGATCGTCCGATGTTTATATGTTTTCAATAATAGTCTAACATTGATTAATTCATGATCTCAATCAAAACTCAATAATCTCCATAGCCCTATACTGATAATTAACTAGTCATTCATCATGCAAACTGATATACCGACAGTTTGTGTTCGCTGATTAATCCTTTTGATTTGTCTTTTCAAATAATGCTGAAGTCAATTCAAAATTAAAACAGTTAAAATTTGAAGATTTTTCAATGGATTTAAATTATCAGAAGGGTGGTTTTTAGAGATTGTAATAATATTATAGTTAGATTCATGAGTCAATTGAATCTAGACCGCCATGGAAAATCTGGTGTAGTTCAACCAGGTCTGTTGGTAGATATAAACTCACTGAAGACATTGGTCAATGGTTGCTCAATTTCGTGGATTGGTTGAAGTTAGACATTAACACCATTGGATGACGACCGGCTCAGTGGTCTATCAGTTGAGCGCTCCGGCGGAATCGTGAATGTTCACTGTTGAGGATTCCCGCAATAGGACGAAACCTCTGTCCAGTACTTTCAGGTTTTCCATGTTGGTCTAGCTTTAATTGACTCACGACTTCAACTACAAAACTTGGAATCATAAAAAATATACTTTCTCTGAGGATTAGTATTACTGTAAAGTGATCGTAGGTATTTGGCAAGAAATCTTTGTCTTAGACTACATATTAACTTCCAATTGTTAAACTTGTAATCTTAAAGGAATTAATACTTCCTGTCAGATTAGAACTAACGTCATCCAGTTTCATATTCAGTGAGTGAAATTATAACTAAGATATTTGATTTAATAAAATTTCAAGTTTGTAAATCATCAATCTGAAAGTCAAATCCTTCAGACATTAATCCACTTTATAAGGATTTCCAAACAGTTCACGATTTCTAATTGAAATCATGAGTCAATTGAAACTAGACCACCATGGAAAACCTGGAAGCGCTCGCGCGCGAAACTGATAGCTCCTGGGTTCGAATCTCGCGTGTGCGAGATCTTGGATGCACACTGACACTGAGGAGTCCCATAATAGAACGAATCGGCCTTTCAGTGCTTTCAGGTCTAGCTTCAATTGACTCATGATTTCAACTATGAAAATAGTGAAATCTCCACGAAACCCCATCTGATTTCTAATTGAATAAATATAATTAAATACTACTCATTTAAAATTTTTTAACTTAAATTATTGAAAACACTTGGTGTTGTTTACTTCTATCTTCCCATTATTATTTAGGACTGCGATTGATCACTCTTGTTGGCATATCTACATCTTGTGTGGACTGCTTCTATATTAACTGAAGTCACAAGCTTTATAAGCAAAGATGGATAGTGACTAGCAGTGGAATCCAGGACGCACATATTCCAACAAGAGATTGATCAATTGCAGTCCTAAATAACAATGGGAAGGTACAAGTAAACAACACCCCATTGCACAAGCAATTGGCTATCAGGACTCAATAGCTAATCGAATAACACCATGGCGTTTGAAAAGAACGGTACTGGGTTCGAGTCTCAAACTGAACATCAACTCTGAAAAACAGATACATCCAACTGACGAGTTCCAAATAAGATGAAAAGTACGTCTTGGATTCCACTGCTAGTCACTATCCATCATTGTTTGTCAATTAAGGCTATATCGAAACAATACGCATAGTATGCACATATGCCAACAAGAGAGTGATCAATTGCAGTCCTGAATAACAATGGAAAGATAAAAGTAAACAAAACTAAGTGAATTTAAATTTCACCTCATTGCGCAATCAAGTGACTCTCAGAACTCGGTAGCTAAGTGAATAACGTGATGATGTTTGAAGCAAACGGTACTGGGTTCGAGTCCCAAAGTGAACATCAACTAACTCTAAAATACAGATACATTCAACTAGACGAGTTCCAAATCGGACGAAACGTTTGTCTTGCATTCCACTCCTAGTCACTATTCATATTTGCTGATTGAAAACACTATTTCTTTTAACAGATTGAAAAAAAAACTCTTTTTTTTGTCTTCAAAAAAATTTCACTCCAATTTTTATTTTTTTTTCATTCCTTGTTTTTTTTCTTTATAGTTACTTTATACTTTATCAAAATTTATTATTTTATTTCGATGGTGAACGTACAGAACGACCATCTGGTGTTATATTTTTAGAAAGTTCTTATTGTGAACCAAATGTAAATTTAAAATCTGGACGAGATGATAAAACTAGTGGACAACAAGGAGTAAGTGAATAATATTTAAGAAAAAAAATTGGTTTATTATTGTTATGCTTGTTACCTTCGTCATAGAAGAGTATGGAGCTGGTCATCAACATTCTCTATTCAATTCTGTTATAGATAATCCTTTCTAGTAAGATGGTGATTAGAGGTGGTCAACAGGAAACCTTGAAACTGGGTTTCGTGCTACTTGACACTCGTCAGCAAGGTGTACATGTAATATTGAGGGAACTGGTTCTCCCTGACGGATTCAATCCCGTGTTATTCAGCTTCATAATCAGAGATGTCACCACTGAGCTACTCGGGCCGCGACCGACCTCCTGTAGGACTGAGATGTAATCACAATTGATTGATCACTGGGTGGTGATCAATGTCATGTATGTCAAGTCCATCTTAGTGCTAATCGAATGCTATCGATCAAGTTCCTTTCTAGTTCTTTCTAGTTGCTATAATCCATTTCATGTCTACTTACAATCTCCGACGCAGTATTTATGTGGCTTTCCTCATTTTTTGTTTCCCTTTAGCATTCCAAGCTAATATATTTGAAATAAATTGATTTACGAGGATTGTTTGAAATTTTCCGTTGTTTATGTTAAGAACTGCAATTAACTAGTTTGTTTCGGAATATGCGGATCGTGTGCGAATCGTCTCGATATCATCAATAAATCAAAAGCATTTTAAGCAAAGTTGGATAATGGCTTAGAGTGGGACGTATCACATGGGTTTCACCCTTTTTGAAGCTCATTCGTTGTGTATACCGATAGCATAGTGATGGTGACCAAACCTGGATTTGAATTCAATATATTTGTTTAACAAAGGGAAGGTCAAAACAACCCTTATAAATAAACTAAAATTACCTTCCATTACATTATCCAATGACTTTTTGAACTCAATACTTTAGTAGATCATGCGTTGAGCGTTTAAATAAAAAGTTGTCGTGTTCAAGTCGAGATGTAAACACCAACACAGATACAGGTATATCCTAATGATGAGTTCTGGCTTCCACTACAAACCACCATCCAACTCTGACTAAAATATTTTAGGTTGGTTTATTTATTATCATTAAATGAAATGAGCTGGAAGAAAATTGTTTGAAATCAATGGACTACATACAAGTCTGTATCCATCCACGATCCTATGCGCTACTGAAATCTTGAGCTTCAGGTTCCACATCGAGTACAATTCCCTTCAACTCAGAATCTGATGACTACCTGTTTCATTTCGATTCCTTTAAGAATATGCTATTGTAAGACAGAACTAATATAGTAAACTTGAGTTGAGTAGTGACAACCGTTGAGATGAATTCATGATATTTTAGTGAAAAGTTGTAACAGACAGTGTTCAGTCACTTTACAGTGTCAAGTGAATTTCATTGATAGCTAGATTGGATAATCTTAGACCAGTTTACAAAAAATTAATTAAGGTTTTGAATGTAGACCATTTCAATCCTTAAATAGTCATCTAATAGACTTGTAGATACTTTGTTTGAATCTCGCGAGGCGGGATCGTGGATGCGCACTGCTGAAGTGTCCCACGGTAGGATGAAACGGATGTCCAATACTTCCAGATTTTCCATGGTGGTCTAGCTTTAATTGACTCATGGTTTCAACTATACATAATAGATTTATGTTCAGTATAAGACCAAAAATAGTACGGATTTTGTCCAATAAAAAATTATAGGTTGACAGTAGTGTGGTATCTTAATGTAGAACTAAACGCTTAGTTCCTGAAAGGTATTTTAGCTTTGTATGGAATCAAAAAGACTTTAAAAAATTACAATAAGATATTGAATTCACCACCTCGTGGATGAAACTCCCATTAGTCAAAGGTCATTCACAACTTTTTCAATGTTGAGCTAATTTTCTGTTCATTTGATGGTTGAGTGGTGTATATTAAAGAATAATTTGCATTGGAGGCTCCGTTTTATGCCTTAACATTCAGGCAGAGCTACAAGGACATGTTCATAGTAGACAGTTTAAGATTAAATCAGGTGTTGGTAATGAACTATCTAGTAAATATTACACCCTAATATGCAATACTTACTGCTTACTTACTTACGCCTGTTATTCCAGATGGAGCATAGGCCGCCAACCGGTATTCTCCAACCCACTCACTCCATCATGGGCCTTCCTTTTTAGTTCTATCCAACTTTTGTTCATTCTTCTCATGTCTATCACCATTTCTAAGCGTATTGTGCTCTTTGGTCTTTCTCTTCTCCTTTGACTCTCAGGATTCCAAATGAGGGCTTACCTTGTAAGGCAGTTGGTTGCTTTCCTCTATGTGTGTCCTATCCACTACCAGCACTGTTGAGGAATCTTGCAACAGGATGAAACAACCATTCATTGCTTCCAGATTTTCCATGGTAGTCTAGCTTTATTTGATTCATGAATTCAACTATTAAATTAGTATAAAGAACCCTCTTAAACATATATTGTATATCTCAAGTCAACCCTGTTTGTATTTTGGCATGTAGATCGTATAGTTTTGTGTGTGTGTTCATTTATGATTGTCGCCATGTTAGTAGAACATTTTAAACGCTTGATCAATTTTCAAAGTTATATTTAACGCTACATTGAAACGCTACTAGTTCGTTTATTATTATGAATAATGATAAATAGAAGCTTGATTAGATGAAATAAGAAGAGTTTACTCTTGCATAACATGCAGACTATTAGTACTATTATTGCTATTACTAATATTATTATTATTATTATTATTATTATTATTATTATTAGTAGTAGTAGTAGAAGTAATAGTAGTAGCATTAGTAGTAGTAGTAGCAGTAGTAGTAGTAGTAGCAGTAGCAGTAGCAGTAGTAGTAGCAGTAGTAGTAGTAGTACTAGTAGTATTGCTACAAATGACACAGGTAATGGTTATATAATTATGGTTACTTTCGTTAATCATAATTAGACAAGTAATAACCGTAATCCTATCAATGTACATATGTATTGAGATATATTGTTTTAAACACACACACACACACGTACAGATTATAGTTACATGTAGACATACTTGTAGCATGGAGATATATTACTGTTGATAAGAGTTATCCTCTACATGTTATCCTTGTCAATAAACTCTATATATTGATGGTTGTATGAATATTTCCAGACATACACACACACAGACAGAGATACTGTTTAGTAAGTAGACGGTTACTGTCGATTGATTTCGTAATAATAATAATAGTCTCTATGATCTTAACTAAGAAATAATCCTTCTTAAACATGCTAACAAAATAAATATGATTCTATAATAAGCTAAAGAATGTGTTTGTTAAGCATTCATTCATTGAAGATGAATGATTGTTAGCTTATAAAGTAGATGTCGATTATTGGAAGCTTATACAACTCCGCCTGCAGCTGTTTTAGTATTACTGTCAGTCCCAAGCCCGGGTAAAGGAGAAGGGTTGGGCATGGGGTTAGCAACCTCATCCTGTAGAAAAACTAACTTGCTAAAAGAACGCTAACCAGAAAAAAAATGATTCAAACCATTTAAAAATTCTGAATCCTAAACAGGGACGTGAAATCAAAACTTTTCATTTCAAACGCTAAAGCATTAACCACCTACCTACTGAATCTAGATATCGACTGGTTTGTGCTCAATGGATAGTGAGTTGAGTGCATGAAGCGAAAAGTACTGGGTATAAACCTATGTATTTACACCAAAACTGGGATTTAGATTCATCCCTCGCTGCTGAAGGTCATTTACTGAGAAACACTCTTTTGGATTCTACTAGTGACCACTATCCAACTGTTCACAAATAAATAATAAATTTTCTCAAAATAGTTAATCTTACTATAGATCATATACCCCTAAATCCCCTGGTACGGCTCTCACATGGGCTCCAGTATCCTGAAGGAACAAATGGCGTATGAATCAATCGTCGGTCACCGGCTACCATGGGACTATATCTTTTCATGATGCTCCACTACCTTGAGGATTAGACCTTTAGGTCGAAGGGTGTAGCCCCCTAAGAAAAACACCTACTTCGATCTGGAAACCCGAGTAGTATCACATTCCATACACAAATCAAGTGACTTATATGACACATATGTATTCGGTACCCCTTTGCACCAATATTTATGTATTCCAATAAATAAATAAATCGATCATAAAAAACAATAAGCTAGTGACAAAGGAAACAAGTATCCATAGGAAGCAAACAATCCAACTTTTGCTATTCACTAAAGTTATTTTCAAACTTTCCATCTAAGTTTATTGTTTATCTTTTCTTTAATATGAAAACAAGACCCAAATAAGGATGATATATTATAACAAATCTAAACTATTAGGAAGTAATGTCTAGGTAACATGGCTTTACTTTCATGTTCCATAGTCTTACAATTTAATGGTCATAAGTACTTCCGTTTATTATTATATTATCGGGTAAAAGATTTGAGGAATGAAATGGTGGGATACATGAAAAAAATTCTTAATTCATGTATGGGCTAAAGTGAATTATAAATTTAAATCACAGTTTTATAAGCAAAGATAGATAGCGGCTAGCAGTGTAATCCAGTTTGATGCGCATTTCACCCTATTTGGGACTCGTCAGCTGGATAGACTTGCATCTCAGGGTTGATGTTTACCCTGAGACTCGAACCCAGTACCTTTCGCTTCAAACGCCATCGCGTTATGCACTTAGCTACTGAATCCTGATGGCCACTTGCTAGTGTGATGGGATGAAGTTTAAATTTACTTACTCAATAGTTGTTTTATCACTTTTTGGGCAGAATCATTCATTCTTTCTTTCTTTTTTGAGCAGAAACATTCTTACCTCATTTTTTTTCCTTTTTTTTGGGAAGAATCTTGTTTTTGAACCACTAATAATAATGATTTTTTGTAGCTTTCGTAATCAGTTTTGGGTATAGGTAGAGTGGATGATTAGGCCGATTTCCATCACCCGGGTCACCGCTCATGTTAGTTCATGGGAACAGTCCCATTATCCATTAGGCACAGAGAGGATGTGTGAGTCAGGTTTCGCCTCCCATCCAATGTAATATAGATAAATATATATCATCTGGAATTATGTTTGACTGAAAGAGGACATAACCGAGTGAAGATTTTTTTTAAGTTATTGAATATTGTTAGTAAAGCTTATGTTCACAACGAAGTACCATAAATTTAGAGCTGTGGAATAGAGAAGGTATTTCTTGAAGATTTTCTATTCGATGACCATTTGTATGATGATTAAACTAGGATTACGAATAATGTTTGTCACTGATTCTTAATACCTGTTTAGTTAAAAACTAATCAGTGTAGTAGATTATCTTAATATTACCATTTGTTTAACTGCTGTTACTATGGTGCGGGTTACTTATATCCACATAATTAGTATATAATGATGGTCAGGCATAGAATGTATTTCAACAGAAGATCGATAAGGAAAGAACGGGAGCGGAACTCAATCGGTATGAAAATCCATGAAAAATGAAATCAGAGACGATGGACTGATATCTGCAGAAGGAACAGTGAAGATTTAGACGATTGATTGATAGTTTGCCAATTAACTATTTACTGTATGGTTGTCACATTTTAGTGTAATAGTCTGTAATTTTCCTGTCAAACACGTTCAATTGTCCCCACTTGTCTTCTTGTTTACTACATTACCACAGCCATCTTTAAAAGAAAGAGCCATATTAGTGTCACATAGTCTGATTTAATACAGTAGGCGCATCTTGACCACTTATTTATGTAATCCGAGATTACATGAAATTTTTCAGGACATTAGATATCTTAGATTAGAATAATATAAGTAGTATCGGTTTCCCCAAGATTACAGGCACGCTTTGTTGACGAATGACAAATAAAATAAAACCTAGGTTCGAAGTTACTGGCATACTACATTCAATCTTGATAATATAGAAATGAATGTATAAGAGACGTCTACAATTACTAGTGTCAGATAATGAACTGGGTTCGAGTCCCGGAGTGAACATCAACTCTGAGATGCAGGTACATCCAGCTGACGAGTCCAAAATAAGACAAAACTTGTGTCCTGGATCCCACTGCTATCCATTATCCATCTTTGCTTACAATTCCTATTTTGAATTAACTAATCCATTCACAATAAGTCAATCGGAAGGGGGGGGGAAGGTAACGACTTTTAACCTTATATATAGAACTTAACAAAAGATGACTTTGTGAAACATTAAATCAATTAAACGAATACTGAATGATAAGTGATAGATGTTAAATAGTACGAGCTATTGGATCAACTTTTAAAAGAAAGCAAGTATACGATTTCTTGATAATATGATTTGATTTTTCGAGAGAAAAAGATGTAAATATATATGCATATATGAGTGAGTTAACAATATGCTCTCGATTCGGCTGAACCAAAAAAAAACTTTCTATTCCCTTTTGAGTTTTTGTTCTCACTCAAGTACCTAGTTGTACTCGTACATAGGAAGCTTATATATCAGAAACAGACACAGTAGAACATATGACATATCTATCTCTTAATAAGTGATATAAACAATAAAAGTAGGTTTCTATAGTTTCCAGAAAATTTCAAATCTAGATATGAATAATTTTTCATCAACATACAGGAAAGCAAAAATGGTTAGTACCTAGCAGTAGAATCCAGGACAAGGCGCGTTTCATCCTATTTGGGACTCGTCAGCTAGATGTACCTGCATCTCAGAGTTGATGTTCACTCTGTGACTTGAATCCAGTACCGTTCGCTTCAAACGCTATCGCGTTATCCACTAGGCCACTGAGTTCTGATAACCAGTGGAGTGAAGTTTAAATTCATTAAGTATTGTTTGTTTGAATCTTCCCATTGGTGTTTTTAGGACTACAACTGGGGAGATTCAAACAGACAATACTAAGCGAATTTAACATACAGGAAATATTATAAAAAAAATGCTCAATTCGATATAGGATAGATGGAATATGGCTAGTAGGGAATATAGGAGTTATGTTTTGTCCTATTTAGGATTTGTTAATTTAATATATTTGGAACATTTCAGAGTTGACATACATTCGGAGAATGGAACCTAGACCATTCACTCCAACCATCATCATGATATTTATTTAGTTACTGAGTTCCGATAGCTAATTACTTTTGAAATATGTATAAGATGCCATTGAATTTGAAATGGTTTGGATTATACAGTTATTGATATTTTCGACTGAACTTTGATCATTATTGGTTGGTATGTATTCATCTTGTACAGATTGCCTCGATATCGGGACAAGTCCCGAAGTGAACATTAACTTTCGTATGTAGGTATGTCTAACCGATGAGTTCCAAATACGATTAAATGTACATCCTGAATCCCACCGCTTGCCAAATTCCATTTATTGTATTTCTTTTATCATAATGGCTATATCGAGGCAATCTGCTTAGGATGTACACATATCAACCAAGACTGATCAAATCTAATTCAAAAATATTAACAATGGTATAGTTTAAACCATTTCAAAATGAATTCACTTAGTATTACTTGTTTGAATCTTTCGATTGATGTTTAGTACTGCAACTGGTCAGTCTCTTATTGACATATGTGCATACTGTGCGTATTGCCTCGATATAGCCTTATTTCACATGCATTTGAATCGAAACGTACTGGGTTTGAGTCCCAGAGTGAACATCAACCCTGAGATGCAGGTACATCCAGCTGACGAGTCCCAAATAGAACGAAATAAGCGTCAAATTGGATTCCACTGCTATCCACTATCCATCTTTGCTTACATTTCAAATTGAGTTATATGGTTAATTGTTTTTACGTAGATCACATATAATGCATAAACATAGTCTATATTGAAATCTAACGTCAACCTTTAATAATAAATTGGTTGCTAACCACTTAACATCAAATTTCAAATCTAAATCCTAACTCGGTATTCTTTTCTCTCTACAAACTATCTATTTACAACAGTTATTCTCATATTGGTTAATAACTGCCTTAAATTTATTGTAATTATCCAAAGCTTATCCCTTATACTATACTTTTGCCGCTTAATTTATATAGTCTATGAAATAAGAAACTGGTTACATAGAAGGTTTCTTGTTTTTTTTCTTCTTTATTTTCACTGACAGAACTATTTTACGATATCATATCGTAAAGAAGGTGTCCGTCAATATGATCTACGAGCTGATACTGAAGAAGAATGTTCAATGTGGGTTGATGCAATCAATAGTGCCAGGTAATTAATCAATATTAATGATAAAGATAAATAGATTTATCTATTTATAGTTTTCATGAATTACAAGTTATTTGAGTATAATAAAAGTTATGTAATGAAAGATTTCTTTCCCTAAGTAACTTTTATGGCGAGATTATAATTTATGGACGAGCCAATCAGAAGCATTTGAGGGGTTTCAAGGTCACGGCGCCAATTTCAGTACCTGATGCTCATGTACGATCGGTTCACAGAGGATTTTAGAGAAGACTTGACAATTAAGCAGCTACAATAAATAGGACTATTAAGAAGTTCCTTTATTTGTAATTACAAGTGTTAAATGACTTTTAGACCTTGTACAGACTACCGTGATATTGTCCTTCGATGTAATATATGTTGAAGGAAGACGTTTGCTAGAATAAGAACCTTTATCGCTCGATCCAGATTGAGACTAAGGCATATTATAATAATTGTCGCCATTTGTATAGTAAAAGCACCAGTAACATTGGCTGCAATATTCGCAGATGTTACTGAAGCTTCGGCTGTGCAGTAGTATCATTATTGTAGAGACATATCTATAGTAAAAATGATATATTTACACAAGCGGAATACACACAAACAATATTGAAGTTGTGTGGTGGAGGCTGAGAGGGTTTTTATGACCTTATCATGGCTCCATAGACCAACTATTATGGAACCATATGGATGGGTTCCTCTACCTTATGCATTACCATTTTGGAACCTTTGAACCTTTTTTAACCTTGATAAGTTTTTGGACCATATAGAAGAAGTGTATCCACTTAATTATTTCGTTTTGTATGATATATTTTTACTCTATGCTGACTGTTTACTGATTGGCTAATATTTCTCAAGGTCACTTAAGATTCGTTCAAAGGTCGTCCATAAATTGTGGTTTCGCCACTTTTGCAAGTTAGATAGTCGTAAGCGGTAGGCAGAAAACCTTAAATAATATGAGTTATGTACTGTTTATCACTCGTCGACAAGGTATATCTGAAATGTTTTAGGAGAAAAATGATTGCTGTAGGATTTGATCCTGCCTAACCCATTTTCACAGTCTAAGACTTTATCAGTGAACTGTTCATCAGTAGAAACGACGGGGAAAACGTGAAAACGGTCTTTCATCAGTGATCAATCACTATAAGGTCAGCCTTACAGTGAATATGTGATTAGGAAAAAGAGAAATGGAAAATCTAGGTGTAAGTTTGAAACTAATTACATGACTACAGTCATGGGATTTAGTAGATTACTTCAACAGTTAACTTTTGATATGTCTCTCACTTGAATACCTATGCATTGACTTGCTAAACAGCCCTATAGTTCCCGAAAATCTCCCACTTTTGAACCTTGAACAAATAACTGAAAGTTGAGAGTATGGAAGAAGCTCTAATTCTAAGGTTAATTCATGAACAGAAAATAAGAGTATCGATATGATTTTATATGACCTATCCTTTCTAAAAGCTTTCAGAAAGCGCACTATAACTGATTTAAAAATATCGAAAGTTTATCATTAGAGATACTGAAAACATAATCCTAGTGATTTCTACTCTGGTCGTATTACAAGTGTAATAAGGGAGATAACAGTTTTGCTGGACACTTCGATATTAGTATACCAAATCTCATTTCTCTTCAAGTCCCATTTATTCCAAAAGCCCAATAGTGTTAGGATAATTTATAGTTTACCTTGAAAACAAAAACTAGTTGATCGGGAATGACCAAGACTCATCGAGGTAACAGTATAAATATCAAAGCATTATATCGTCTATTGAACGTAGATGATTGGTTTGAATGGCGAGAATGTCATTAGGCGTATAAAGTAACGACTCAAGCTTAGGGTTAGTTTACTTACAGAATAATTACAAAATTTAACTCTAAACGAAATCTTAGACCCTTGATGGTAATCTAAAATTTTGACCCTATATCCTTATCATATTTGGCTGAATAAGAGATTTAGCTTGCCAAAGCCATTCAAGGTGTCACTTAACCTCATTCTTCAGATTTGATAATAATTAATCATTCAAATTCATTCACTAATACCTAGTTCACAGGTATTGATTATCACAGTGAATTAATAAGATGAAGTGTTATACTACTGAATTAATGGGAAGGTTAATTAAACGAAAATCTGAAACACCTTGACTATTTTATCCCATTGACCTCTAATCAATCAGTTAATAACATTGAAGCAACTAGCACACATATGTGTTTATTTTATTTATTTGAACACATAAATATTGGTACAAAGTGGCACCAGATAAATATGCGCCACACAAATCCCATTCGATTTGTGTGAGGGTTGTGATATTACCCAGGTGCCCAAACTGAAGCAGGTGGTTTACTTAGGGGGCCACTCCTGGAGCCTTTGACCTAAAGGTCTGATCCACAAGGCAGTGGAACATCGTGAGGAGATGCGGTCTCATGGTAGCCGGTGACCAACGATTGATCCATACGCTATTTCTTCCCTCAGAATACTGGAGCTCATGTGCACGATTGGTTTGGATTGAGGGTTTTCCAACTCCCTAGGTGAACTTGCGTGTCCACCAACCTGGTTAAAGTGCCGGACATTCGCTTTTCGTCTTCTCAATTTTGTAAACAATTCATTCTATAAACGAATTCATCTTGATATAGTACAAAATTTAGCAAACAATGGGAAGCAAATTAATTTTTGGAAAAAAGAACCAATCAAAGTATTGGAATTATATCATGTTGAAGATTTTAAGGAAAATGAAGATCGATAATGACTCTCGAGCTTGAGCCCAATATGTCTACGACTATTGATATGTTGCACCTCAACAATCATTGACTTTGTAAGCTAATTTCATTTCCTTGATCTGACTATTACAGATTATTTCTGAAGCTTATACATTACTGCTCAGCATAACAAGTAGGTGGGGGATCAATATAAGTAGTATATGCTTTTGTCACATTCATCGAAAAAAATTCACAATTTTATCTAAAGCATTATCGTCTCCTCTTAACATGCTTATCTTAACTGAAACAACGGAATAATCTTGGTTAAAAAATTATTGAATACCAGGAATAACTGGACAATTGTTTGATCAATTAGCAATCAAACGCTACGACATTTCTTCACTCATATCAATACACATGGACAACTGCGGACACACATTCGACTGGAAAAATGTGGAGATTTTGAACAGAGGCAATTTCAAAAACAACAGAGAAATTTTAGAAGCTTGGCACTCAGGTCAATCCACAATAAACAAACACACTGTAATCAATCCAATTTGTCAACTAATCAGGGAAATCGTGCAGAAACATAGGAACAAAAATCAAACCAATGAGAGATACAATCAAAACAAAGAAATAAACAATGACAGATTTAAGGTCAACAAGAACCAATCAACATCGAGGTGCGCAGGACGAGCTGTGAATCACATGTGGAGAAATTCAAACATTTTATTTCTACCCGAAGTTTGTATTGATGATGTTCAGAAGGACGATGAAAGCTCCACGACCAAACCATCCAGCTCAGAGAATAAAACTCCATCAAAATCACCCACCTGAGCTACAAATCTTCCCCAAGCTCTTAAAAAATGTTATTTGATCTTAGTATGAGATTATCTCACCAGTGTTCATTCACAACTTGACCATAGATCGAATCCTGGATCTTCAAGGTTCTTGATAAAAGCTTAACTTTGACTATTTTCCAAACATCCAACGGCGTACATGTCTAATTCCAGTTGTTCAACCACCTTCTAGTAATATACTAAGACAAAACAACTACTTGGTTATTCCTAGTTTTCAATTATTGTCTGATTAAGATCAATCTCCACAAACTACCTATGGTAATCATATTTCTCAGTTATCTGTAAGTGCTCAATTATATTCATAAAAACATAATACTGTCCTGTAATGTTGATCCATTTGTCATTAGACAGTGTTTCTAAGGAAAAAAACCTACACACTTGAACAGTAGTATCTTGAAATCGTACATGATTGACTCTAGAGAAAACAGAATGATGAAGACTAACAGTTGGAGACATTTATAACTGTATTATCTAAAGTTATTGAAGAAGAAGAAGAAGAAAACATCAAGTGTTTACTTAACTGTATTCTTTGTTTCTGAATATGCTATGAATACCTTTTTGTTTGCTTAAATATTAATTTACTGGATGGGATCTTGTAAAGATCGATTAAATCTGTAAGTTATATACGTCACATATTGATTTAGGTTGAGTTAACAATAAAAAGAAACTAAAGGGAAATGTAGAACTGTTTTTCTCTAATATGGGGTAGGGTATTAGGGGATGATGGTAATTCAGTTGATGAGGTCACGAATCTTCATCGACTGAGATGGTTGGGCCAAGTGTTACACATGCCTGAACACCAATTACCACGATGTGCAATGCTGACTAGTATTGGAGATGGTTGGGAAAAAGTTAGGGGCAGCCAAAACGAAACGTGACATCAGTCCTTGAATTCACTAACTTCTAGTGGATTGGTTGAAGTTAGATAATAAACACCACCGGATACCGGATCATTGGTCTATCGGTTAAGTGCTCTGGTGCGAGACTGGTAGGTCCTGGGTTCGAATCTCTCGAGGCTAGGTCGTGAATGCGCACTGCCACTGAGGAGTCCCACAATAGGACCAAACGACCGTTCAGTGCTTCCAGGTTTTTCCTAGTGGTCTACCTTCAATTGACTTATGATTTGAACGATGAAACATAATAACAGCTGAAAGAAGAATAATAAATACCAAGATAAATTATAATACATAGATTGTCTAAATGATGTTGTTATTAAGAAGAAAAGAAAAAAACAACAGAATTAAGTAGTCACGCAAATATGTATGTAAGTAGTATGATTACCTTGATTGAATAAAATAAATCATTTTAATTACCGATAAACTAGGTATATATATACATATACATATATAATTCATCTCCTACCATCACCTAACAACATCAGTAGAGTTTCGTTTAAAATAACCGCTGGAAAAAAAATCGATATTGTCTGATATCTATCTATCTGTTGGCTGTGTA